TGCCCAGGGATGTGCAGGTTAGGGTGGATTGGCCATGTTAAATTGCCCATAGTGCCCAGGGATGTGCAGGTTAGGGTGGATTGGCCGTGCTAAATTGTCCACAGTGCCCAGGGATGTGCAGGTTAGGGTGGATTATCAGTGGGAAATGCAGGGTTACAGGGATAGGGTAGGGGGGCAGGTTTGGGTGAGCCAAGTTTGGATTTGTTTCTAGGCAAACTGCACGGGGAGGAGGGTGTGTGGAAGAGAGACAAATAGATTTTACAATGGAACAAAAACGCAAACAGATATAACTCGAGAGTTGCTGACGCTGTGGCTGAAGACAGCTTGCAATGGCAATAAAAGAATCGTTGAAACTGCGCTGTCTCTGGGCAGAAGTTGCTTTAATGATGTTGTCAGGCAGTCAGTGCAAACGATGCTGATAGGAGCTCTGCTCTTCTCCCTGCAGTTTCGGAATTCATTGCAGACTCCGGGGTTACTCTCGGTCAAAAAACTCCGGGGTTACTCTCGGTCACAAGCCACCGGGTTTTCGGCAACTAACCTGTAATCCCCAGCGGAAAGGGGCTCAAGACATTGATCCTTTGTGTGTGAAAGAGGGGAGCATGTCTACTTCTGAACAGTGAATCCAAGAATTAAAAAATAAACAGTATTAATTCTTTGTAATCAGCAATCAACAAGAGGTTGGAAATATGTGTGAAATATGGATTGTTCGTACAATTGAAATGCATATTGCGCAGGTTAAATATTTTCAGAATATTGCAACTGGAACACAGCCAGTAAATCTACTTTGCAGTGGATTATCTCGATATTTATAGGCGTACGGCAGACACTTAATTCCCATTATTAATAATAAATTAAACAATAGGTCTCGCCCACAATTTTAATATATGCTTTGAGAGAGAACATTTGCAGCCCTAACAATCATGACTATCCCACAAGCATCTGCATCTCATGCACATAAAATATCACATACTATACCTTGCGATTGGGTGATAAGGCGGAGATAAAACAGGAGGATGCCATGCAGGTTCTCCAGGCAGACCCAAGGTTATATTTCTGTATCTGTCCCTTTAGTTCTGAGATGGTGGAAAGGGTTTTTTTTTCAAAGAAAAATCCCCTGTTAGCCACTCGCCAAATTATTTTGATTAATGCCTCAGAATTTTGAGACCCGTGTCTCAATTGTATCTAAATTGCGTTTCAGAGGGAAAGATTTGCAACCCACTGTTTCACAGCAATGCTTCTCTTCTCAGGTGGAACTCAGCTCTCTACTGGTTTCTCTTCGCTCTAGTTTTCTTCCTCGCTCACTGGAAGGCGTTGACTCCTGCTGAGCCACAACCCCCCGCCCCTTACTTCACTGGAGTGGCTATTTGACTGTAGATTGCATCACTGTCAATTTACGACACCCCCACCCCCCCATACACGGCATCTCTTATCTCGTGTTAAAGCTGTTCTTTAGAATATAAAGCACATGTGACATTGGCACTATAAAGTGGTTACGTTACTGGGTTAGCAAAAAGGATACTTTATTAGTCTAGAGAAAGTGAATTCAAACAATTAATTTGGTTTATATATTTGTTTTTAATTGGGTATTTGTAAAGGTGATTATAAAACAGTTTGTGTGTCATAAAATAACGAGTTTAATTCATATGTTTTGAGAAGTTTGCCTGTCTTTCTTATCTGATGACTCAGATTTCAAAGTGTACAGTGACAGCAAAATGTTCCAAATGCTGGAGATCTGAATTTTTTTAAAAAAACAGGACGTGCTGGAGAAACTCAGGAGGGCCATCAGTGTCTGTGGAGAGAGAAGCACAGAGATTATCTTTCACTTCCAATGAGTCTTGTGTGAAGATCCATATGACTACTCCTATGAGTCATATTGGAAGTGAGATGTTAACAGTTTCTCTTTTTAAAGACGCTGCCAGAACTGCTGAATTTCTCCGGGGTATTTAGAATTTGTTTCATACCAATCTAGTTAATTCTTGATTGTCCTCTGAAGTGACCTAACCAGCCAACAAAGTGTATTTGGGAGCGAACAATAAATTCCTGTTTTGCTAATGCTTGGAGTGCTGAGAATAATGTTTCAATGTTTTGACATAGTCTCAAAGCTCCTGCAATCTAAAATTCTCCCAATTAGGAAAATGTCTTTGCATGTTTCAAACATGTTCCTTGTTTGCTTCACCCTCACAATGTGCAGCCCTATGATACAATCATTTAAAACATCCTGTAAGGGGAACAAAACCAGATTTTTGGCTCAGAAATAGGAATTGGTGGAGAAACTCACCAGGTCTGGCAACATTAGTGGACAGAAAGCAGAGTTAATGATGCGAGTCTGGTGAGCTATTTTCCCTGGAGCGTCTGAGGATGAGGGGTGACCTTAAAGAAGTTTATAAAATCATGAGGAGCATGGACAGGGTGAATAGACAATAGTGTTTTGCCCAGGGTAGGGAGGCCAAAACTATACGTAATAGGTTTAAGGTGAGAGGAGAAAGATTTAAAAGGGACCTGAGCAGCAACTTTTTCACACAGAGGGTGGTGTGTGTATGGATTGAGCTGCCAGAGGAAGTGGTGGGGAATGCTAATTACAATTACAACATTTACAAGGCATCTGGATGGGTATATGTTTAGGAAAGGTTGAGAGGGATATGGGCCAAATGCTGGCAAATGGTACCAGAGTAATTTAGGATATCTGGTCGACATGGATGAGTTGGACCCAAAACATTAACTCTGCTTTCTCTCCACGGATGCTGCTACACATTTTAAGTTTCTCCAGCAATTTCTGTTTTTGTTTCAAATTTCCAGCTGCTAGAGTTCTTTGTTTCATTTCAGGATTTTTGACAGGCAAGATGATTAAAAAGAAGTTTGAGGGATTTACCTTTTTCATTTTGATTGAGATCAATGAGCTATGGCTGCTTTCTTAACCAATTTTAATAGGTCTTATTTTCATAACTGACAGTAAACATGAAGTATAATTGAATGTTGTGAAAACTAATCTGTTTCACCCATGTCCTTGATGGAAATCTGCAGTCCTTTCCTGGTCTGGCCTACACATGAGTCCAGATCCACAGCAATGTAGCTGACTCTGAAATTGCTCAGTTAGCCATTTGCCCAAGGCACCACAGGGATGGGCTAAAAATAAAGTTGATCTTGACAACAACACTTGCAGGAATAAAGGCAGCATACAATTTTAATTTAGAAAGCCCTTTGAACCAGTTCCGTGATTCAAGGAGATCCTGATTGATCTGTGATCGAGCTCATTATCCTTTGATCCGTGTCTCTTAATTTCATTGATTAACAAAAATGATCATGCTTCCTTTAGTCTAGATTTCTGAGGATGTGTTCTGTCTCTTCTGCACATCATGACTATATAAGAATCACTTTAAAGTCTTCCGTTGGAACAATCTTTCCTAGGATCTCAATCTATAGAGTCCTGTCTTCCCAGCAATTCCTCTTCCTCCTATATTTATAAAGACTGTTGAAACCAAAAGTTTGCCTTGACAAACCACAATTTAGTGATTTATTCTTGCCACCATTGATGATATCTTGCAGTTTCTACCCAAGCCTTTCACCCAGTTCCAAAACGCAACAAAAATGTTTTGAAATCACAAAAACAGATGTAATTCAAAGATAACTTTTCACTGAGGTCACTACCACTGCCCTCCTAAGAAGTAACTAGAACAGCTCTAAAGGTGATTAAGAGCAGGTAATGCTTATTGAACTTTGTATTGAAAGTAGCTGTAGCTGCTGAGCTACTGCCCAGGTGACCTTGGAGAGGGAGCATGTGGAGTGCACCAATGCTCTCGATGCCTTTATAGAGAGATGGGCACCACAGGGGGATACAGTGCTGTATTTGCCCCCCAACTCCATTCTGATTTAGTCCTTTCACTCTCTCCCAACCTCCCTCACCTTTGATGGTTTGCTTTGCCTATGATGGGCTTTGCTTGTAAATACTCAATTGGATATACATGTATTTTTCCTGGTGGTGGTTACCAGTTTTAAAAAAAAGCAAAAACAAGTCATGGTGACCTTGATGGTGAGAAACCTCTCAGTGATGTGTGATACCATTTCTGGGCAGAAATAAAAAAAATAAAAAGAAACTCAATTAACAAGCTGC